CATCAAGAGGGTTCAAGTCTTATCACCCATTAGCAAATATTGTCCATGCATTCGATTAATAATAATAATAATAATAATAATAATAATAATAATAATAATAATAATAATAATAATAAATAAATAAATAAATAAATAAATTCAATCTACATGTGACGCAGTGTTTTGTGTCAAAAATATAACCTTAGTTAAGGTGATTCAAAAATATTTTAAATATTTTGTTTATCTCTTAATTGTTTCTAAGGCTTTTAATTTATTGAGAATGAGTCTTAATTTGTTGTCGTCGTTATTGTTTTTATTTGTTGTTGGAGGATGAAACATTCGCAAGCAATATTCAATTGAAACTTTTGAATTAAGATTACAAATTGATAGTTAAGTTAAATCCCTGGGAAACAATATTTAAGCAAATATAAAATATTCACGAGCAAATGATAGAAAAAATCAGTGGTACAAGTACATCAGTATTACAATAGAATCCAGAAACCTTAGAAAACTGGCTCTTTGTGATATGCTAGGGTCAGCTGCGATGATAATTTGACTTATACTTTTAGGACATCTCCAATGGTTGTACTATTGCACCATTTTTTGGTGCAAAATTGCTCCAATGCAACACAAAACTTTGCACTATTTTGGTGCAAAATGGTGCAAAATGTAAAATGTCTCTTTTGCCTTTATTTAACATTTTCGAAATAAATTTGTTAAGGATATTTATGTCATTTGTGCTATATAATTTTCAATACAATAAATTATTATTATTTTTATTAATATTAATATTAATATTATTTGCATTTAAAATAAATTTTAAATGTAAGACATAATAATTAATAAATTAATTAAAAGACGAAAACAATTTAAAATACAACAAACACAATTATTTATTAAAGTTAACACGAAATATATTAAACAACGACATATATACGATAATCTAATTTGATTTCGTATTTTCGTTGTTATAGTATTTTTATTAATTGTTCTGTGTTTTTTTATATTTATTAATGAATTTAATATTTTCTGTAATTTAACGTAATTATTTATTTAGTAATTTATGTATTTATAAAATAATTAATAAATAATATGTCAAATAAATAAATTATAAAGAATAAAAAAAGGGAAGAAAATAATTAAATACTATTCATTTCGGGTAACTTTTGGTGTAATGGTTGGAGATGAATTTTAGTTTGGTGCAAGATTTGGTGTAAAATTTGGTGCAAAATGGGGCAAATTTTGATGCAGGATTGGAGATGACCTATTAGGACACAATCGTTCTGTGTACGGACATCATCTACATATGTGAGTTATGAAGATAAGAGTGATGTTATATGTACATTAGAGTGTAAGTGTATACTCCTCATATGGAGGGGAGGACTCACTTTGAATAAAATATAATTTATCTAAAGTGGGTTTTTCTTCATGTGAAGGGGGTGGACACCATTTGATGTATAAGTAGCATTATCCTAAAAATAAATATATGGTTGCAAAAATTCTATCCTCTCATTGTTTTTTTTGGGTGAATTTGATGCGAATATTGCCGGTCCCAAATGGATAAATCCAACTTCCTTCTCCAACTTAGTAGATGCCTGTTGGAAAGATACACCATAAAGTAATAATTCTACGAAAAGTGGACCACCAATTTCTTATTATCTTCCTAACTAATGAAAAATGAAGAAACTTTAATTTTGAAAATTAGTTTTGAGTAATGTTGTATGTAGCATCATTGTTGTTTAGCACGATTATAGGTAGCAACACATACGATATTAATTGTTTATAAAATTAGTCAAAATTAAACATTAAATTCAACTACACATTAATAACTTCTACTCAATATTATCCTCATATTATTTCATGAAGTTCACTTTTATTTCTCTCTATAAACCATTTATAAATTTACGAATCGAAAGTTTAAAAGTTAGTACTACAAAAACTTTTATAAAAATCTCTAAAAGTCATGAAAGTTTGAATACTCCAAGATTTAGAGAAATTTCTAAAAAAATTTAATTGAATATATTTTAACTTTTAAAAACTTTTTAAATAAAAATAAAAGTTTCAATTGAATACACAATGACTTTTAAAAATTTCTTAAAAGTCTAATAAAATTTCAATTGAATATATCAATACTTTGAGAGAGTTTTAAAAAGTCTCAATTGAATACATCCTCTATGAATCTTATAGAGATGTTGATAATTTTGAGAAATCACCATGACAACAATAAAATTCGCGTTGCCTCAACTTTATTAAAAATGAAAAGAAAAACAACACAATACTTACAAAAAACATGACGAAACAGAATTTTCCTCTACAGAAGAATTCCAGATACTCACCCCATGTGAGTAAAGTAATCCAAAAATAATCCGCCCGCCCTATGTTGTGTGTATTATGTAAGTTATCTGTAAAAAATTGTCCTGTATGTTTAGCAGAACTCTACAATTCTCATTGTTGTCATCAGATAAAGAGAGCGGTACAAAGGACATGTCTCTATTTCCGGATGCATAGATTCGTTATCGTCAACTTCACTTTCAAAGTTTTGATCGAATATAAAATCACAAGAATAATAAATAAATAATAAACCTTAATTGCACCACAGTATTCCAGAACCATCCCCATTCCTATATAAATGTCCCCAGCGGTCTATATTTCCCTCAAACCAAAAACCTCAATTATAATCGTTGATGATAACACTCTTACACTTTTCTCTTGGACCGTATTCTAGATTTACAGTTTCGATAAAAATCCCAAATAAATCTTAAAAGTTAGATTTTCGATCTTGTTTGCCTGATTTTCGTCATCGCTGCCGCATTTTCAAGCACTTTCACATCCTGAGACCTACAATATTAGGTTTCTTATCTTGTTTAGCTAACTTTTGATTGCAGTTTTCGCGTTTTCTAGCAATGGAGAGAGTGAACAATATGGTGCCAGAAAAACCTGTGGTCATCTTCAGCAAGAGTTCGTGCTGCATGAGCCACGCGATTAAATCCCTCTTTTGTGAATTCGGTGTTAATCCTGTAGTGTATGAACTTGATGAAATTCCAAGAGGTGACGAGATTGAGCAGGCTTTGCTAGGAAAAGGTTGCAATCCGGCGGTTCCAGCTGTGTTCATAGGCGGCGAATTTGTTGGCGGAGCTAATGAGATAATGAGTCTCCATCTCCAAGATCCTTAAGGCCAATGCTTGAAAGGGCTGGTGCCTTGTGGGCTTGATCAAAACCAGAGAGAGAGAGAGTTGCAGTTTATCTAACAATTAGTTTTTGACATGTGCGTTGCACAAATTTTGTATTTATTGTATTTTTATTAATGTCAATTGTAGATTTTTTAAAATTTGTTGAAGATTTGAAGTATTTGGTAAAGTCTAATCGTTTAGTTCATTACATTAACGCAGGATGCATGAAATTACATAATCAATCAAATATAATTTTTAAAATTAATTTTTATAAAGTAATATATTTTTATAATTTTTGTTTTTAGAAGGTGAAATATAATAGTATTAAAAAATATAAAATAATTAAATTTTTATCAATTTTAAAAAATAAAATAATATGGAAATTCAACATGTAGGCCTCCATTATTATGGAGGCCTACATGTTAATTATGGAAGTCTCATGGCCTCCAGAATTCTGGAGGCATAATTATGGAGGCTTCATGTTGAGGCCTCCGTTAACATGTTGGCCTCTAGAATTACGGAGGCTCGTGCTTGAGCCTCCGTAATTCACGAGCCTCCGTAATTCTGGAGGTTCAACACGAGCCTCCGTTAAACGGAGGTTCATGTGTGCTTGAGCCTCCGTAATTATGGAAGCTGCAAAGTGCATTTTTTACTTTCTTTTTCCTTCATTGGCTCTCAATATAATAATTTCATTTCATTTAATCAACTTAATTTTTTCAATATTCTTAAAACAAAAATACACAAAATAATGGAGGTTCACTCTTTCTCCATTTTTACACGCTACAATCATGCTTCTCTATTTCTTCATATTATCTCTTTCACCATTTTCTCATGCTATCAACCATATATCTTTAGAAAGTTTATTTTTGAGCACATAAGTAAGTTTAAATAAAAATATTATTTTTATATATGTGCGCAAAAGGTATATAGTAATTATTTGGATGACCAAAAAATAATATCAATCAAAATGTTTATGAACCGTTTAAATAATAATTTATTAAAGGGGTTAATTTAAGAGCAAAAGTGTGAATTCCATAAATATATGATTGAAAATATGTTTGAATAAAAATAAATTTTAAAATTTGAAGACCAAACATCTTAATAAATGAATATATTTATTTTTCGAGAAATGAGTTTTTATTACCATTTCATTTTTATCATGAAATAATTATAATCTTAATATGTTAGATTGTGCTTCAAAATTACATAATCTATCAAATATAGTTTTTAAAATTAATTTTTATAAAGTAATATGTTTTTATGATTTTTATTTTTATTTTTTGGAAAGTGAAATATAATAGTACTAAAAAATGAAAAATAATTAATTTTTTATTAATTTTATAAATTATGGATGCTCAAATACTCATTGGCTCGAGTATGAGTTTCCACTATTACTTTACTAAAAAAAAATCATAAAAATATATTATTTTATAAAAATTAATTTTAAAAATTATATTTGATAGACTATGTAATTCTGAAAAACAATCTAACATATTAAGATTAGAATCATTTCATGATAAAAATGAAATGATAATAAAAACTCATTTCTCAAAAAATAAATATATTTATTTCTTAATAAATAAAAACATTATTTTTATATATGTACGTAAAATGTATATAATAACTATTTTGATGACCAAAAAAAAATATCAATCAAAATATTTATGTTTCATTTAAATAATAATTAATTGAGGGGGTTAATTCAAGAGCAAAAGTGTGAATTCCATAAATATATGTAAAAAAAAAAAAATTCGCTTAAAGTTATTTAAAAGTAAAAAAAAAAACTTATAATTGTAAAAATTACTTGTGACTTATTAAATTTTTATTAATTTTATAATATAATATTTTATGGAGGCTCATACTTGAGCCTCCAATGCCTACGTGTAACGGAGGCTATTACTTTACTAAAAAAAACAAAAAGAAAAAAAATTCATAAAGACATATTAATTTTAAAAATTATATTTGATAGATTATGTAATTTTGAAACACAATCTAATATATTAAGATTAGAATCATTTCACGATAAAAATGAAATAGTAATAAAAACTTATTTTTCGAAAAATAAATATATTCATTTATTAACATGTTTGGTCTTCATTTTTTAAAATTTATTTTTCTTCAAACATATTTTCAATCATATATTTATGAAATTCACACTTTCGCTCTTGAATTAGTGTGAAGAAATAGAGAGACGTGATTATAGCGTGTAAAAATAGAGAAAAAGTAAAAAGGACATAAAATTATTATAATTTTATAATAATAATAATACGGAGGCTTGCGGAGACTAGTGTGGCAAGCCTCCGTATTACGGAGGCTCAGAGGCTCATGTGTTGAGCCTCCATTATGTAGCCTCAGTGTAACGAAGGCTATTACTTTACTGAAAAAATAAATAAATAAATAAAAATTTAATAAAAAACATATTACTTTATAAAAATTAATTTTAAAAATTATATTTGATAGATTATATAATTTTGAAGCACAATCTAACATATTAAGATTATAATCATTTCACGAAAAAAATGAAATGGTAATAAAAACTTATTTTTCGAAAAATAAATATATTCATTTGTTAACATGTTTGGTCTTCTTTTTTTAAAATTTATTTTTCCTCAAACATATTTTCAATCATATATTTATGGAATTCACACTTTCGCTCTTGAATTAGTGTGGAGAAATAGAGAGGCATGATTGTAGTGTGTAAAAATGGAGAAAGAGTAAAGAGGGCTCTATGACATAATCCTCCACGCCGCGTAAATTGAGGAAAAACAACAAAGTCACTGTATCAAACACGTAAGATAAACGACGTCATTGCTTTCTCTCAATTAAAAAAAAGTTACAGTGAGACAAAATGGAAGAATCTACTATTCTTTCTACAGTAGTGAAACATTGTCTTTTTTATATAGTCTAACAATAATAGTGCTAACTGATATGTACTTCAGCTTGTTTTTGTCAATCTGACTATGTTATTAAATAATTAGTTCAATTTTCTGGTTACTATTTTCAAAAACTTGTTCTTGGATATATAATTCAATCGAACTGAGTTGGGGTACAGAACTCCCAGATCACAAACCTCTTACAGAGGTTTCAAAAATGGAGTCAGAATTTTTTTTTTTATCATTGTTTATTACATCATGCCTCGTAGTGGGGCCGACCTTTTGTAAGTATTCTGATGAGAGGTCTCACACATGGTGGGGTCATATTTTTTTTTTATCATTGTTTATTACATCGGGCCCTGTGGGGCTGACCTTTTGTGAATGTTCTGGTTCTCTTTTGTAAAAATAATTCCGTACAATCAGAATTGTTGAATTCAATTAACCATATGTACTAAAACATCCCATTTTGTCGTTGCTATTTTGTAGAAATTTGCATATATATGATGAAAAAGTGCTTGGCCAGCTACCTCCACATGCACATCTACATCTATATATTAGGAAGAGAAAATTTCACAAAATGTCCATTTTTACTTAGTCATTTGCAAAAATGTCCACCATTGCAAAAATGTCTAATTTGAAAGAATTTAGACCAAAATACCCTTATTAACAATTTATAATTCCACACTAAGACAAAAAAATGGACATTTTTGTAATATTGTTATTGGCCAATAAAATTTTGACACATAATCTGACATATTTATTTCAAAAAGTATACATGTCAAATCACAATAAATGCTATGTTTTCCATTGATTCAGAAATGTCGAGAACGACATTTTTAAATATAAAGAAATGTCATGTTCAAAATGAAATGTCATTCTAGACAAATGAAACGGTGTTCAAATGTCGAGAATGACATATGAAATGTCGAGAAACATTATTTTAATGTAGCTTTTCATGGAATCCACTTCTCAAAATTCGTGACAAATTGATAAAAAATCAAATGTCGAGAATACCATTTCAAAATGTAGATTTTCATTAAGGATATAATAGACAAGTTGGCACTAAATTCAAATGAGTGAATACTTTTCAACTCATACCCTTAAAATTGGATATTCTTAAAAATGCCGCTATTAGGAATGACAAAATACTTTGTCCCCACCTGTTCCGGATTGTCCCATTTCGAATTTTTTATTTTTATGTTTTGTCAATTTTAATCATATTTAAAAAAAAATTAGCAAAATAAATAAATTGACTAGGAGGGGGTAAATGAGAATTTTTTAATCCCATCTAGTCCCATTATATTTCCAATGGGGCGGGGATGAGAAAAGATATTCCATCCATAGACATGCCTAGCGCTGGCGCACACTCTTTCGAATAAGATAATAATTCCTAGAACCATACTTGATGTATAGAAGAAGTTTTCATAGAATGTTACCAGAATACACATATAGAGGGATGGGTAGGATATTTTTTGGCAATTTTCTTTCTACGGTGGGCCCCACATCATGAGACTATTCTAACAACATTCTGTAAGAAGATATTTTGTACATTTGGATTTATCCTAATTCCCAAGAGAATCTGACCCCCTACTTGAACAATGCACTATAGAGTAAAAACATGCTGATGGCAATGTTGATGGAGGAGGTGAGTGAGGAATGTCAATTGGATTAACCGACTTGGGTCACCTGTGGCTTGGCCCAGAAAAAGCCCGAGCCTAGTGCGGATGGCAATGTTGATGGAGGAGGTGAGTGAGAGATGTCAATTGGATTCACCGACTTGGGTCACCTGTGGCTTGGCCCAGAAAAAGCCCGAGCCAACTAGGCTCGGGCCAAGCCCATTTAAAGGTTTTGGGCTTAGTCTGAGCCGGCCAGAGCTCGAGCCTTATTAAAAAAAAACGAAGAAAAGAAAAAGGTAACAAGCGCTGCCTTGAAATAAGGCAACAGCTAAGGCAGCAGCCATCTGCCTTATTTAAGGCAGCTGGCTGCTGAGTGCCAAATGCCAATTAAGGAAAAAAAAAATGAGCGGGAGAGAAAATTGAGTTGGCTTGGCGAGGACTCGGGCCCAGCGAGCCTAATGCTCGGGTCGAGCATTTTTTTTTTTTTTTTTTTGCCGAGCTTTTGCTCGGCTCGGGTTCGAAAAAAGTCCATTTGATTTTACTCGAGCCGAGCTCAAGCCTTGAGTATCGGCTTGACTCGTTGATATCTCTAGGTGAGTGTTAAGGGATTAAATCTCACATCGAATAAAAATGAAAACATAAACCAACTTATAAGGTACTTCTATTAAT